GGGGGGGGGATCGCCCCTTCGCCCCCCCATAAAACCGCGTCTGCCGCACTTGCATCATGGAATGTAGCATATAATTGCGCTCATTTTCATTTACTGAATAGACTAGGCTAAGGCTGAACTGCGACTGGGAAATCACATTTTTTTTTTAAATATAACAACCGTAAGTAATCCTCAGTTTCCAATCAAGTCCAAATCGGTATTCACAGGGGGAAGACAAACTAGGGATCACACTGGGATTTTTAAAAAATATAATGGATTTTCAGTCATTTTTTTATCAGAAATGGGACTTACCCCCTATAACCAAAATATCAAATTGGGCTCGAACTTTTATCGGCAATCGTTTAGTATGCAGTCAACATAGAAAACCCCAAATTTTAACCGATTCGTGAATTTTCACTTGCATGAGTTCCCTTGTCAGTTTTCTTGGGGTGCGTAAATTTATCCGCAGGAATAAGACGTAAGTCGGCTTAATTGAAAAACTGCTGCGCACTGATGACTCAGGGCACTGCAGCGCTGCAGCTTATTTTCCTCGGTTGTCTCGTATTATGCCCAGCGCCAAAAAGCCTAGCCTTGCCCGCCATGCGAACGAAACGAGTCGCTCTCCGATATTCTGTTTCACTTACGAAGCGTTTCGTTCGTTTGACCGCGGAGGGTTCTTGTGCGGCCAAGTAAGCACTTTCGTTCACCGCTTTTTACTGCTACGCGCGCCCATCTGCTTTGTAAAAGCTAGCTAGTTTATAAAATCGACCTGGTGCCTGGTGTGTTTCTCAATATGGTAAAAAAAAACAACAACATAGAAATGGCGTCAGTCGCATGCTGTTGCTAGTCGTTTCTGTCACTTCTAACTTAAATAACTCGATGTTCTGCTGCAGCAATCGAAAATATTTTAGTATAAGCGTATTCCCCAGTCTTTTCTACTGCGGATCCAACACTGTTTACGGGTCCAGGTGCCATTGCAGGGTGGTTCCAGCCCCTGAAAGTAACTATATCGTTTAGGACGATATTTCATCTTTGTCCCCACTTCCCGTCCGATCTATGATACTTAGAGTCGCTTTCGGCAGCTAGCAATGTTCCTTGAAACCTTCACTTTCAAATAAAAAAAATGTGTATTCAAAAATATGCATTTTTGGCCAAGATATTGGCTTTTAACGGCGCTGTGGGCGCGAAAACGCGGCTGGTGTGCGCCGGGTTGCCTACCCGGACCTCCTAAGGCGGTCCGGGGTTAATTTGAAGGCCTGTAGAATTTTCCCCAAAGGAAATTTTTGATGCCTCTGCGGGTCAAATCCTTTATTTTGGCCATAAGTAGCCGTGTGCAAAGCGGCGTCGCTTGCGAACGATTTGCCACTAATTATATTGTACCCGGTCCACTTGAAAGTGCGTTACGTTTGTTGCTCAGAATAACTACTTGAGGTCATTCAAACGTTATTAAGTACCTAAAAGGACCATTTAGTTAACGGGTAGTCGTGTTGCCGAACGTTTAACTTCATTAAGAGCAACAATAACATAAGAAATTGACACAAAGTTTATAAAAAACTATGAAACTTACCATTTAGAAATTGATTTTTGTCACTAATATCGAAGTTAAATATTTTTTAACACCCATCACCCGGTAAATAAAGGTCCAGACTACGTTGTGAATAGCATTTATTTTACCTCACGCTACTATTGGGAGCCACAAGTGTAACCAACTTCTACGTCTAAAGCCACAATACACTGACACCCACTCTGAGCGGTCCACTTTTCGTCAACGAAATGTTGATTTTTAGCCTGGTCTTTTGCTTAAAAGCAAATAAGCGGGCTTATGGCATCGCCCATGTGTCTGTCCGTCTGTCCGTCTGTCCGTGTCTGTCCGTCTGTCCGTCTGTCCGTCTGTCCGTCTCTCTGTTTCCCAAAGGACGTGTGCTAGAGGTCTGAATTTTTCAGGGTAAGATTGATGTCACTACTGGACAACGAAACGGTTGGTACAAATCCTGGCAAATAACCCTAAGGGGGTGAAAGGGGGTAGAAATAGGGGTTGGTCCAAGAAGAGGGATTTTTTTTATGATCTTCTGAGGGGTACATAAGACGTGAAAGTAGATCTCTCTGTACCAAAATTTCGTCCGTTCGGCTCTATCTCTCATTGTTTAGGCGCTAAAGCGGCTCTCTCCAATAGAAATGGCCCCAAAAACGAAATGATTGTTTTTAACTCTTTGATATGGCTTTCTTAAGAGTAACTCTTTAAGCTTATCCCTCGGAACGAAAATTTCGTTTCTTTGGCTCCATCTTTCACCGTTTGGGCACTAAAGGGAGTGTTTCCGAGGGGGCCACTGTGTACAGATGAGGGTGTAATCCCTATGTAATCCTTTTGCAATCCGTAAAAATACTTGACCAAATTTTAAACTATCATCACTTATATCACTAAATTCCACCTTATTGTCCAAATTAAATGATTTTAGAGACAGAAATTCAACAAAATTCATGTGTAATCCCTCAAAATTCTCATGTAATCACGTAATCCTGTGTACATCCTAAAGTAAAGTGGTGGCCCCCTCGATTGTTTCTTACCAAAACAGCCCCCCCACCCACCAAATAAAATATTTTTGTCAGGAGCATGTCTTAGTAGAGCCATATTGGTTCAAAATTTTCTTTTAAGCAGAAGATAGGGCTTATGCTATGGTGACACATCATTAACGAACTGTGTTCAGTTCCATGCCGAAAACTCCTACTCTGATACATTTCGTTTTTGTGTTGTACTTCACCTTCTGAGTGATTTCAAAATATGCCAGCAAAATTGACAATGTATGAAATTTCCTAACGACGTTTCCAATTCTACAACTGATTCTGATTTGAAATTTTAGAAGTTTTTTTAACAGTGCTCTCTCTCTTTCTCTCCCCCCCCCTCCTCCCCCCTCTCTCTCTCTCTCTCTCTCTCTCTCTCTATCTAACCCACTCACTCCTCACTCTCTGCTGCCTTTGCATTGGCCGCAATTCATCGCAGGAGATAGAAGGGGCGGGAAACCTTTTAGGAGGGGTGGGTGTTCCTGAGAAAGTTTTGAATGCGCACGCTGGAACATCGCAACATACTTTTCTGATAACACACTGCAGTATAACGAATTGTTTCGTGACCTTGGGGGAGCCTTTCAGCTGCGTCTGCGCGTAGTGCCCGTGATAACGTGCCATATATGCAAGGTGCAGGGGCCGCGGAAGTGGGGGGCAAGGGGGGCCAAATGCCCCCCCCAAACTTCGACAGGGGGGGCGAAGCCCCCCCCGTTTTTCCACGCTAAGCGCAGATGTTCTCTAATTTGTGTTCTGAATTCTGTAACGATTGCAGTACACTTACAACTCTAAGTCATTAATAAGATATTAAAATGATGATTTTTTCGCATTAAAATCGGTGTTTCCATTCAAACTCTCAACAAAGTGCACGGTCAGCGAGGCACCATGCATTACCTTATGGTTGCCACAACTCTGAAAAGCCTTGAAAACCTGGAACACTCAGGGAAGTTAAAACCTGTCGGGGAAATCAGGGAAAACTCAGGGAAAAGAGAAAAAAAGTTTGGGAAATGTGATCTGATTGGTCCCTAAACTGCATTGTATTCGCTCTTCAGTTCAAACACACATTTTGACGTCCCAGCAGGGTGTTTTGACCCAAAATTTTTCGCGCTCGCTTCGCTCGCGGTCTTACTTTGCAGTTAGGGGTGTTTTTTTGCCCCCATATTTCACCAGGAACGTTGCTTAAAAGGGGCTGGACATCAGGGGGAATAGAAATTAAGATTTTGTGGCAACCATTTATGTATAGGCGTGTGCACCTGGTAGGTAGGCAACCCACACAACAGGACCCAAGTCGCCCCCCCCGCCGCGAAGCACTTCCGCGGCCCCTGGCAAGGTGGAGTGCGGCTCTCGCGTGGCCGCGTCAGGGTGGACCGTAGCTGCTTTAACTGGCGAACTTAACTTTACGCTTTAACTAGCGAATGCTCAGGGCGTCGTAACGTAACGAAACGCGTAACGAAAACGCATAAAAACGCAAATAAAATTGCAACTTTCATGCGTTATTGAAGCGTTTTCAAAGAAATTCAAGAGTATCTTCATGTATAATATTCGAATAGAGATGAAAACGCCTCAAAAACGCTTCTAAGCTGCAATTTTACTTCCGTTTTAGTGCGTTTCCGTTACGCGTTACGTCACGTTACGACGCCCTGCGAATGCTTTGAACTTTTCGACAGTACCGGGTGTTGCTTAAAAGACATAGGTGCTGGCGGGTTTGCCTACCCAAGGGGCTATGGTGCCTTCCGCGCCGACCGGAGTTGAACCTCCGCTTACTCTGGAAACCCAAGTGTGTACTTGAATGCAGAATATTCTGCATACCTACATGTATGCAGAATATTCTGTGTACTTGACAAGTATGCAGAATTATTCTGTGTACTTGACAAGTATGCAGAATTATTCTGTGTACTTGGTCAAGTATGCATTCAAGTACACACTTGGG